AACTTAGACCTGCCTGAGCATGTGTCACCAAGGCACACTGGCCCTCACCTTGGCTTTGGTTTTCATCTACATTCCTCTGAAAACCACATTTATCCAAGTATTCATAAGCCTCTTCCATGGAAAAACTGCTGAGTGAAAACTCAATGGCAGAAAATATGTCACTGCTGTCCACAAGTAGGAGTAAATATGAGGTGACAGATTTAGGAAAAAAAGCCCAAAAACTGGAGTAGGTTCTTCATCCCAGATACAGCACATACTTTGGACAAAGAATATGGGATCTTGGTTACCTATATTCTCATACTAACAAAAGGTAAAATGCTACTCTATTTTTCTCTTATACACTGTCAACATCTGCAACATCAGTTTTGAGTCTTCTTTTATCATTTCCTTGTGTACATAAATCCATTCTAGAATCTTACTCTCCCCAGTGGCAATCCTAACACCATGCTCCCTGTGGATGCTTGCCAGAAAGCCTGGCCCACATTCCAAGTGCTACTTTTTAATTATATGTCACGTTCCTAGATCCTTCTAAATATACTGCTGTCATCTCAGAAAGCAATGAATCAAAATTTGAAGCCATAAAAACTTTAAATTATTAATCATTTTTTCATTATCACTAATGTCTTCTACAATAGATGTTTAAAATATACTGATTGATATGTAGAAAGTCATATCTGAGTATCTTAGGAATGTGTAGCTGTGGAAGTGTACATGCAAGAGATGTCCAAGACAGCAGCATGTCCCAAATAATTTACATTTTAAATTAATAGAAAGACATAAAAAATAAGACCCATGAGAACACATTTTGTGCCTCTATGTAACCAGTATAAACTTTTTTAATAAAAGAGCCGAGCAGTTGAATAAAACAGTACCTTGTTTACACCTAGACTCTGCCTTTGCATTGCCCAAACCAGATCCAGATTGATTCTGTACTTCCAAAAGTTAAACTTGCCTTCTAACATGAAAAACATGCATTCATTCTTCCCTTCTTTTTCCTCTATGACTATTTCTATATGACTAATTCACTAGGAACCTTTCCCCTGCTTTCTGTCAGAAATCTATACAGAGTTGATAATGGCCAAATTTGTGGTTGGAAGAGCTACTGCTTGCTAAGACAATTATCACAAAAGTCTTAATTAATTAATTAATTAATCCTTGTTTAAAATTATACTGCCTTGCAAATCCTGTGGCTGTGGACAATGAGGCTATAGGTAATAAGCACACTTTGTGTTCAAAGAGAAGAAATAGAATGCAGTGACAGATTTAGATTCCCAAAGTATACTCAAAACAAAACATTATTTTATAAAAAGCAGTCTTTTTCAGGAAAAATGAAGGAGGCCAATTCCAGAAGAATGCTGTGCAGTTTAAAAGGACCACCAGCTTTTCTGCAAAATGTGCTAAAGGTGGGGAGTTCCTACGGACACACAGGTAAATACGTTTAACTGTAAAGCACAATTATCCCACTTTTCTTTGTTGTAAATTCCTTCAGTGTGTGAACATTATAGGAATACCAAAATATTTCTTTTCTGAACTGCATAGGCTTTATAGTCCAAAGACCAGTAATATTTATATTTTTAACATAAATGGCTGTCCACTTGTTGTGGATTGACACTGGCCCAACACCAGGCACCCAAGAGTCAGTCACTCACTCTCCCCTTACACAGCTGGGCAGAGGAGAGGAAAAAAATGTTAATAAAGGCTTTGTGAGTTGAGATAAGGACCAGGAGAAAATACTGCAAGGGCAAAACAGGCTCAACTTAAAGGTATGATGTGAGATTATTACTAACAGAATCACAGGAGGATAATGAGAAGCAAATATAAACCCTTAAAAACACCTTCCTCTCCAGCTCCTCCCTCCTTCCCACCAACAGCACAGGGACACAGGGCACGGGAGATTTTGGGTCAGTTCATCACAGCATGTCCTTCTTCAGAGCCATCAGGGACTGGCTCTGCTGGACTTGGTGGAAGCTTCCAGCAGCTCCTCACAGGAGCAATTTTTGTGGCTCCCTACCACCAAAAGCCAGGCCATGCAAAACCAATACACCATTCTAAGATATGGAGAAAGCGGGGAATGTGGGTGTGCACAAGATGGATATGAAAAGTAAAAACACATCAATAACTAGATCAGCTCTTTATGTTTTACAATGATGATCAAGAGCACTGTAAATTCAAAGCTGTGATTCTTTGTTAAATTCATTCGTTTATCTTTCCTTCTATATTATGGTAAGTGCATCCACTCTGTTCTGCAAGATGGCACTAGTCTAGCGTATGCTTACAAATTAGGTTGGCAGACTGTTTTATTTGCTCTCATTTTCCTTTTCAAAATGTTCCATGCTAAATTTTCATATCATAGACTTAACATTTTTCATATTTTCATTTTCTTGATTTCGTCATAAATGTAATGAAATTTGGTTTCAGCACTTTATTTTCAGACTCCAGGTGTCCTTGGAATGAGAATGATTTAATCCTGTTGTTGCCATCAATATTTTTAAGCTTTTCTATGAAGAGAAAAGAGCCAGAAGATAAATGAAGAATAGCAATATGTTTATGTGCCAAGATTTTTAAGCCAATCTCATTTAGTGCCCAGTTTAGGGACTGTGCACTTCAGTGATTCCACAGCTGGGCAGGATCGCTGTGATCATGGAAGTTGACCAGGCCAAACCTTTTCCCAAATCTTAACTGAACCCACAGTTGTGCAATTTACAAAATAATGGAACCTGGTTTCAGCCACGGGATTTTTACAATCTTTGGCAACCAGATTATAGAGCCTGGTATTAGTAATTAACTACAGAACAACTAATTAAGCCTTTAATCACCTCTTGAGTAAGCTAAATGAACTGAGCTCCTGTGGTCTCAGTCCATGGCACATTGGTCGATTCTTTGATGAGTCCTGTGACTCCTCTCTAAACCCACTGCAAATTATCAATATCTGTACAACTGAAAAAAACAAAGTTAAGGAAAAAGTTTAGAGTTAGCTTGTAAATAGGGTTCTTTTTTTCTATGTTGACTCAAGAGCCCTGTGTTTAACTATTCAGTGATCACACTTGTCTGTTTTCAACTGTGAGTTCTGGCTGTGGTTCTCCCTAGTAATTCAATAAAATAAAACATAACCTGGAAATGAGCAACAGGCTCTTTATAGAGAAATGGTATTCTACAGACACTTGGTTGTAAACCTATCAATATCTACTGCCTGAACCCTCAGGTTAGGATTAAATTAACTTGTTATCACCTCTCTGCATTACAGAACAGGGCAACAAAAAATTTAAGTATACAGTTCTCTGCTTGGTAAGAGGACCATTTCCAGACATTGACAGGCTCTAAACAAGATTATTATGCCCATGTGCAAGGAAAATGCCAGTAACAAACCAGATTTCTGCTGCTGGAATACATTTAAATTATTTTAAAATGCCTTTTTTTTCCCACAGCTGCATGAAGTGACAATTTTGGGTGTCTAAGTTACACAAGTAGAAACAGGAATCGTCACAGAATTCCATCTTCCCCATAGCTACAGAAAATCCCTGTATGAGAGGCCAAGCCAAGATGTAGCAAGCCCTTGAACTTTGGCCTTTAACTATAAGAAATCAGCATATAATATGCATTCAATGCATGGCATGAGCACATATCACATACCTGAAGGTTCTTTTGTTCTACTGCTCTCACTAACTACACAGGATAATTTCCTTCTCCAGAAAAGCACAGTTGCCTGATCTCTATATTCCTTCCTTTTCTTTTTCCTCCTTAGCAATTCTGGAATTAATTAATTTGTAGACAGGCTTGATTAAATAAATGCTAGCACTTGCACAAAAAAGTCATTTGGTATCTTTAGAAGCTTTAAGCATTTTCCAAGTCTTTTCAAAATATCCTGCATTAATCATTTCACAATCTTTCAAATACTCTCTAGGAAGATTTATTTTACATCTCCAGTTTAAGACTATTGTAGGAGTTTTGGTTTATCAGGATTCTCAAGTCAGAATCCTAACTTTGAAAAGAAGCTGACATATCCACTGCTTCTCCTACCAGACCAATTTAGCTGAATTAATCTGCCTTATTACACAATATCCTTGCATGATTACCACAACTTCTAGCCTGGAATGTATTAAGAGGAAAGCATTTAATGTCCTTTTAGATGTCTTTTAGCATAGTTAAAACACAGAAGAGGAACCAGATAAAGAGATTAGGCAGCTTCCTACAGACCAATGACAAATATACTGTAGATATTGTTAGGAAACTTGGGCAGTTTCCTTTTAAATTTTTCTCTTATTACTGGCTTGAGAAGAATAAATAGATAGGTGCTGCATAAACACTGCAAAAAATACAAATTCCTGCTGTCTGATTAAAGGGAAGTGGCAAAAGGAAAATGAGTAAATGTATATCTGCGTTTAGTTTACATTCCAAACTTTTAGACCGAGGTCCATCACTTCTAACACCTAATGTTGCTGTTTGCTATGCTAGTACAATGTGCACTTACATTAAATAGGGGAGTAGAAATTATTCTTTGTAAATACTGCAGAGTTTGTGTATGGACCTAGAATAGCACACATACTGCTAGAAACATTCTCAGAAGTTGGAAAGCATAAGTCTAAGAAAGTATTTCCCTCCACCTATCCTATATCTTTCAAAGAAAATTCTAAATCTCAGCAAGGAGAGAATTAAACTGGTGACGATGTAAGCTCTGGTCAAATGATTTGAACATTCTCAAAAGTAATTCATGGAATGGAATAAACAAATATTCAATGAATAAACATATTCTGCCGTACTCTATGACAGAACTCATGCAAGCCTCATATGCAAATCATTAACCTCATTAAACTGCTGAACTGCCACAAGACAAATGATATTACAGAACTGTCATACTTAAAACATTCTTCCATAGAAAATTTCAGTATTATTACCAACTGGAAAACACAGATAATGCACAGTTAATCAACAGCTTCATTTTCAAGCAATGGTGTGCTTTTGTTTGCCCAGAGGAATGATGAATAAAGCAGCTCTTTTCTTACCCTTGTTGTACATGTTGGTGGGTACTTGGACGTCACTCAGACTGATGTTCACAGGCAAGTTGTTGAAGTGGTCGTTTGGCACCAGTATGAACTCCTTGCCCAGCTCCAGATAATTTCCTTCTTCATCTCGTTCATTTATGAGCACAGCATTGAAGTATTCATACTGCAACAGAAACCCACATTCCCTATTCAGAATGCACGTTCAGCATCAAAATGAGGTTTGAATGCTTTAGTACATCTATCAATCCACTGATTAACATCTCCAGCAAGAACAAGAAATTTTTATCTCAGGTTCCCTCTAAACTCTTTGTACAGGTACATTTATGAAAACAGATTTATCAATACATCTCAAGAAAACCCCATATTGTTTCAGTTCTTTGGCTGCCCTGAAAATGTTAAGGACAGTCCAAGAAAAGCTCTAATCATAAATAATATTTGTGTTATTTTTAATACAAAGCTTTCTAAATTTAAATATTTTTCTGGATGATTACTTAATTATGAGTTGTGTTTAGCTTACTTCCACCAGATCAAGAACTGCTGTCAGTGATGAACTTAGTCCCTGACAAAGTAAAAGTGTTTTTACTCCTCAGGAGTATTAACTACAGCTGTAGATGTGTACTCAATGTGTACCGACTGACATTGCCTAAAATTATTTGCTTTATACTGAATTTTAGGAATGCACATCATAGCTGGCCTTCTAAAAATGCATACTTTAATCTGGATATATAAACTTAATAGTGACTTATTTTGAACAAGAAATAATTGCCTGCCTGTTAAAGATTCCTGAAGAACTATAACCAGACAAGCAAAAGCAATTTAGATAAAATTATTGATATGTTTATGACCTAGTTTAACCAGAAATTTTACTAAGCTTTGAAAGCAACAAACAGTACAGCCTATTTTTTGACCTCTTAAATATGTTAACCCTTGGCAACACCTTGTGATGTGCTTCCTAATTGGAGGAGGCCAAAGTTCAGTGTCTTTGAAGAATCACATTAATTTAAATACGAGTCCCTGCCCTAATATCCATTTGAGAGCAAATGCATATACTGTTTAAACATAAATCTATGTTTATTTCAGGATAAAGTATTCTGTACTACAATGTGTAGCAATGTACTGTTCTTCTTGAACTGAACTTAAGGTACATACTATGGAATAATTTCTACAGAAATTCACCTATAGACTTGGTTATTTCAAGGATGTAAATTTTATTTGCTCATGGCTTTTATAATACTTTGTAAATGGAAGGAAAAATGGACAAATTTCAAATAAGGATGTCAGAATGTACTTGAAATCAACTCTAAGCAAACATTATTTCGTTTCATTCTGTGATTATTTCCTTTTCCAAAGAAGTTAATTAGTAGGGAACCTCTTTCATCAAGTTCTGTAAGTGGTAAGGCTAGCCAAATACCAAAATCTGCTGTATTTAAAAAATAAAATAAAATAAAAACATTTAAAAAGAAAAAAAAGAAACAACTTATTTTATAATTAAGGTTATTTAGGACTGATTCTTCAGTTGATTTAGTATTCATTGATTTATTGGTCTGAGTCTGTATTTTCTCTTCTCAATTCTACCAGTGTATACACAATAATATGATTTATGTTTGGGTTTTTTAAAAGCAAATTGTAGCATAGAGTATTCCATATACTATTGCAGATTATTAATATTTTCCTGTTTAGTTTGAGGGTTTTTCTGTTTGATTGGGGCAGGGTTGGGGGGGGCTTTGGCTTCTTGAGGGTTTTTTGCAAATGAGAAGCGTACAAAAATAGCATATTTAAGACAGTCCTGCAAGTTCTAAGGATTAAACATCAGGTAATGTATGCAGCTCAAAAATAGTACTGAAAAAGATGAGCATTTAAGCAGAGCTGTTATACAATGGTATCTTTTGGGCTCTTCCTTTCCAAGGAAATTATTGAGTGTGACAGCTGAAAAGTAATAGAAAGAATATTAAAAATTGAAGAAAAAAATATGAAAGCAAATCCATCTGGCATTCTGACACTGCATTTGAGATAAAGCCCAAGGGAAAGAGGATAAAGTCCTGTTTGCTGACAACACAAATACTCTACCTAAGCTCTCAGAGAAAATGACTTCAATTTAATCTTGTCAGTGGAGGTCAGTCTTTGACATAACCTTAACTAGGTAACTTAACTCTGAGTGCACACAATATAACACACCAGAAAGTTATTAGTCTAATAAATAACAAGGTAATTATCCAGGTTAGGATCAGACTCAGCTCTACTGTGACTTGTCCAACAGATGAGTTTGCTCCAACCTTACCTAGAGATCTGCAGGTGAGTGAGGAAATCTCCTTCATGTCAGCTATTACTGATTAGAACTAAAAATCAGCTTTTAGACTTTAGTGCATTTAGATTTGCTCAAGTAAATACATTGGGGTTTTTTGCTTGTACATTCCTTTGCAGTATCTGCATCATTCTGCGTGTTTGATCTGACATTTTGAAAGCCCATACGGTATCATAATAATGAGACAAGGCAAATTGAAATCTCAGTTTTCAATTTTATCCCTGTAAAGTTTTCCTAGTGCAAGCCAATATAAAGGGATCAGTGTCCAGCAGAAAAGCACTGGGCCATTCTGCCCCAGCAGGGAGCTGACCATATTTGAGATCCCCCAAAATAATCCTATTGCTGACAGTCTACAGCACCCTGGGCTGCTCTGCCATACCCTGAAATCACAGGAGACAGAGACTTATGGGGCTGTTACAGAACTGATCACAAAACTGCTTTACAGCAGCATTCATGCTGGCAGGCAGAAGCAAGTTTGTTTTAAGACAAAAGATACCTTCAGCCACAATGAAAAAGCATGTGTGCTTGCTTAGGATGGCTGCCAAAGATTTATGTTAATTATGAGAAAATTAATTTGATCAAAATATATAATAGTAAAACCAGGGAAGTGCAAAGCTTGTGGCCTGCAATGGGAACCACAGGAGGAGGTGAGAAGTGATCTGCAAGAGAAGGAAACTGCTTCAAAGTTCTCTATTCCAGCTTAGCCACTTCTTTTGGCATGATGTCTCAGCTAAACAAGCACCTTGATAACAACAATGGATACTTGTCTGAAACAAAACTTCAGTAATTTAGATGCAGTATTGAAAAGCATTGGACACATCTCACATAATTGCAGTGTTGTACAAGACTGGTGTTCTATATTGCCTTTTACATTTATCATTCTGTAAATAGATATCAGTCATGCCTTAATATTTTGTCAAGTATTTGTTAACATTGTAAACAGCATATTTATTTAAACATAAATGTTTACTATTAAACTTAAAAGATAGATTATAATGCAAACTGCCTTTGCAACTTGGAGAGTATTTGGCATAAGAGTAAACAAGTATCACTTTTTATCACTGCATTTTAAAATGAAGTGTTTTGGTTTTTAACAGCATGAAAGAGCGCAAGCCACAATTTTAATTTACTATTTTTTTTCTACACTATAGAAATTATTTTTACCTAAACAGCAAAAAACATCTCATTCACAGAGCAGTGAGGACCAGGAAGATGTAAATGGGAATGATTTGCACTAATGAGCCAGCATTAGAGTAATATTTGGATTAACTGATAATTCTTAACTACTCAAGAACCATTTCCACAGTGTTTCTGTAACTTTTCAGCTCATCTAAAGAGAAAGTTAAATGTATCTGAAAGATATTAAATTAAGGAAAGTTTATGGCATTTGCATTGAGCCTCAAGGCTAGAGCATCAGAGAAAATGAAGTAGCAGCAAATAACATGGAAAATTAAGGGGAAAGCAAAACCTACCATGAAACAGCTCAGACAACTAGAAATGCACAGAATTTGAAACATCTACAGTTGCAACAAAATAGCTATTACCATCAGAGTTTGAACAAAAAAGACAAAAAGTTTCTTTTCTCAAGACTGATAAATAAGAGACATCTCTAAGGTGAACAGAAAGGTTCATTATATGTGAAAAGCAAAATGAGCAAAGTTACCCATTCTGAGGGAAGCTGTCCTACTAAGAACACATTGGAGACAGCAATCCCCATTCTGGTACTCCAGTTAAAGAAGTGACAAACATGTGAATGCATATCAGTTTCTAAGGCTCAAAAAATCTCTTCTGGCAGTTGTCCAGTAAGGAGAATCTATGTTTTCAAGCATATGATTAAAGCTTTTGTATTCAATAACTTGGTCTGTTTAGCAAGCATAAAAGGTCATAAAAGTAATGTGCCACATTCAATAAAAACTTCTGAATTTTAAAAAGCTTTTATGTTTGAGAAAACAGCATCTCTTGCTGTAAGAGACAATCTTTATAATTTCCATTTGTTCTTTGAAGGTTCCTCCTTGCTCCTCTGAAGGAACATCCAGCACCTTTCCCCCCTCTTTATGTCTTTATTCAGCTCAAAAAACACCTGGGATATGCAAAGTTGTCATCAGTCCCACTTCAATTATGGAAGTAGTACAGAAACATTACTTGCATCCTTGAAAAACAACTGATCTGTTTTCTACACAATCAAAGTAAGATGACCTTCCCCCAGGCTGTACATTCCATCCCAATATGATTACCCTATTAAAATTGCCATAAAAGAGGATAAATAAATAATACTTAATTATAGTATAAAATCTATTGTAGCAGTAAATTGATAAGACATCAAGGTCTCAGACTTGTAAGGATTAACTGATTCACTGAATGTACAAATTATAATGATGGCTATTTTAAATCATCCATTAAAGTTAAAAACATTAGGTTACAAGTTTCAGATGAAGCCTCCATTTCCTTTACAGATAAATAACTTCAAAAATATTTACTTTTACATGTAAAAGTTCTCGAGCCTCTTCTTTGTCACAAGACTGAACAAAAAGTCTTTGTTCACTAAAATTTAGTAAATAAAACAAGGAAGGAGAAAACACTTATGTAACAGGCTTTTAGTTTTATATTTTGGACACCTTGACAAGCCGTATTGGATATCTATCTTTTTTTTTTTAAAGAGCAAATATTCAGTGTTCTCATTTTCATACACATAAGAAACCTCTAAGGAATACTTTCTGCTAAAGACCAGAACAAATCCCTACTCTGGTGACATCATAATTTTTCCCTTCTCCCAGTGTGTGTAGGTTAAAAAGATTCCAGTTGCATGGAATAGTGAATTCAGAGCCAGGGACCATGATCCTAGAGATGCAGCAAACCATGGA